AAGGAGCAGGTGAGTGATGGGCACTGCTGCTTCCGTGTCCGCGTCCTCTTCCGAACGTTCTCCACTTCTATGGGTGTGCAGGCAGCTAATATAGGGAGGCTGTCTTGTCACAGAATTCCAGGGAACTAAATGCAATACCCTACACTGCAGGTGCACGTTGCATTTATTTTCTTTTGGGAAGGGTTTTAAGATCTGGCCTTTGGGTGTTCACATATACTGAGAAAGGACCTCATCCTTCATCTGCAGGCGTCCTTGAGCGCCTCTGGTAAAGCCTTCCTAGGTAGACCTGAGATGAGCAGGGCTGAACCTACATCCCGGACCTGATCCTCTGGAGACAGAGGCAGATGCTCCCATAGAGCATAAATGACCTTGCGCCACGGTAGTGCTCTGAAAAAGAGAGAATAGGGCGCGGTGGAACATGAGGTCAGGAGTTCGAGACCAGCCTGGCCAACATGGTGAAACCCCGTCTTACTAAAAATACAAGAAGTAGCTGGGCGTGGTGGCGGGCACCTGTAATCGCAGCTCCTTGGGAGGCTGAGGAAGGAGAATCACTTGAAACTGGAAGGCGGAGATTGCAGTGAGCCGAGATCACGCCACTGTACTCCAGGCTGGGCAAGAGAGCGAAATTCCGTCTCAAAAAATAAAGAGAGAGAGGGAGAATAGAGATGAGGGGGTCTGGGGGAGTGGTCAGGGCCACCTTGAAGAGCCAGTTTGGGGCAGGTACCCACTGACCAGCACAGGAAGGCCCAGCTGTGTCCTCAGCAGAGGCCAGGTGGCATTTGGAAGGCTTACTGGGTGGGAGATGCACACATCTCCTTGCGTGCTGGGGGACCCTGAGAAGGGCGGATTCCAGGCAGGGGACAGCCATGGAGGAGGCTGCCATGGCTGGTGTGAACTGGTGGGGCCCTGGAAGCCAAAATCAGGGGTTTGGGTTTTATCATAATGGCAGTTAGAAGGCATTGGGAGATTTTAAGTAAAAGCATGACAGGATTTTTTTTTTTTTTTTTTTTTTTTGAGACAGAGTCTCACTCTGTCGTGCAGGCTAGAGTGCAGTGGCGCAATCTTGGCTCACTGCAACCTCCACCTCCCGGGTTCAAGCAATTATCCTGCCTCAGCCTCCTGAGTAGCGGGGATTACAAGCATGCGCCCCCATGCCTGGCTAATTTTTGTATTTTTAGTAGAGACTGGGTTTCACCATGTTGACTAGGCTGGTCTTGAACCCCTGACCTTGTGATCCGCCCACCTCAGCTTCCCAAAGTGCCGGGATTGCATGCGTGAGCCACCGTGCTCGGCTAGGATCTATCTTTTAAAAGAAACCACAATGGGGAAAAAGCCACTTGGGCTACTATAAAGAGCAAAGACCAAAAATGAGGTGCCACAGCTCATGTGGTCTGTAGATGTTCACAGTCTAACTCAGCAGGTGGGAACGACGTGCAGCAGTGCTGCACCCCAAGGGCTGATGGTGTAGGGTGTGGATGGGCCCCGCAGGTCTGGAGTGCACACACAGAAGAAGCCTGGCCGTGGGCCACATTCAGTGTTAGGAGACATTAGGAAAAATGTGAAAACCTGGAGAAGTATTTTTGCTCCATTGTGATCCAGTATGGATTGGTCTACACGATGGATCCCAGCTCAGCCCAAACTAGACGAGGCATTTGTGGAAGGTGCCCAGTCCCTCTCTGGGGCCACCCGTCCCTGCCCAGCTCTGTCCCTTGCTGGCGCCTCCAGTCCCTCTCACCCTTTCTCCCTCGCACACACCCACAGTACTCAGTTTCCTGTCTCGCCGGCAACACCTGACTTCTGGTTAAATCCTGCGGCTCCTGCACACCTGCCCTGGCCCTGAGCCCAGGCCACAGCCCAGGGCCTCAGTGCTGCCTGTCCTGCACCTGTCCCCTCCCCAGCTTGCTGGCACTGTTCTCTGCAGTGGACTCACCTCCTCCCCACTGTGGAGTACCCATCTTTCCCTCCCCTGCAGGAGATCCATCCCTTCCCTCCTCTGACCCTCTAGCTCCCTCATCTCTCAGCTGTGTTTGCTGCTTGTTTCACTGGAAGATCAGAAGCACCCAAAGAGAACCTGCAGGGCCCTCCACACTAATGGCTTCCCTGTGTCCTGCACCCGCCTCCGTAGCTGCCCTGCAGTCCTGGAGCCTCGTTACCACCAGTGCACAAACCTCAGGAGCTCCCAGCCCTTCCCCGGCCCTGTCAGTTTTTTACTTCTCTTCACAGAAATGCCCTTGAAGGGGCTGCCTGCACCATCTCACCTGCTCTCGCTGCCAGTGGCTCCAGTCCAAAAGCTTAGGATCAGGGCTCACTCCATGACCCGATGTCCACATCTAATCCATAGCCACACCTTCAGAGTGGACACAGACCCTAACTACTTCTCACTAACCCTTCTCCAGCATGCTAACTGCCTTCCTCGTCTCCTCCCTCAATCTTCTCTCTGCACACACTGAACCCTGTCCCTCCTCCGCTCTGAACCATCCAGTCTTCCCGTGTCTCTCAGAGTAAATGCATGGTGTTCACAGTGGCTTCAACGATCCAGCCCCCTGCCTCAAAGCTCTGATGCCTCTGCCTCCCCCTCGACCATGCCCTGCAGCTGCAGCAGCCTCCCAGCAGCTCCACAGTTGCCCTGAGCAGGTGCTCACCACAGGACCCTTGCACTTGCTCTTTTCTCTGCCTGGAATGTTCACGCCCAGAAGCCTGAGTGCTCACTCCCTTGCTTTCTGTGGCTCTGTGTTGAGATGTCCTCACCGAGCGGCTCTTTTTCACCCCAACCAAAATGGGACAACACTGCCCTCACCAGCACTGCCCCTGAGGTTTTCCTCGAGCCTGTCCATATTTGCTCTCCATCTCCCTCCTGCTATTAGTCTGTGCTCCTGGGAGCAGGAGTGTACCGGGCACACTCAGTAACTGCTTGTCCAGTGAGTGGATGCAGTGTGGATTCAAGGAAGCTCGACTCCGGGGGTCACTGTGCCCTCATAACCCAAATGAGGCCACAACAGGGGTGGGTGACTAGAGCGGCCTCACGTTCCTATCACTGAACCCATGCGGCCTGGCTGCCGCGTGTGTGGTGACCAGCTCACGGCCCTGCTGACATCACAGCCAGTAGAGTGCACACGGACAAACCGGTTTCACACTTGTGACCGTCCCAGGGCCTTTTGAGGACTGTCCACTTTGGCCTGAAGTCCTTATTTCATGGCACAAACCTGCCTCAAGTTTTCTCCACCCCATAGCCCAGCAGATTCTCAATTTCCTCTATGCCAGGTTAACAAAACGTCATTATAATGCAGTATTTATCCTAGCACTTTGGGAGGCCGAGACGGGTAGATCACGAGGTCAGGAGTTCAAGACCAGCCTGGCCAAGATGGTGAAACCCCATCATCTCTACTAAAAATACAAAAATTAACTGGGTGCGGTGGCAGGCACCTGTAATCCCAGCTACTCGGGAGGCTGAGGCAGGAGAATCACTTGAACCTTGGAGGTGGAGGTTGCAATGAGCTGAGATCACGCCACTGCACTCCAGCCTGGGCAACAGAGCAAGATTCCATCTCAAAAAATAATAATAATAATCCAGAATTTGTGTCAGATTTCTAAGAGCCCAAAACTATGGTTTGAATAAATGTGAAAGGATAAGAGAGCAGGCTGATTTGTAGTGTTTCTCCACTGAGCTCACACAAAGCATGGCTTCCTCTTCTCCCTAGTTTGAAAAGAACACAAAGTCCGACCTTCTGCTGAAGGAGCTGTACGTGGAGAATGCCCACCTGGTGAGAGCACTTCAGGCCACCGAGGAGAAGCAGCGAGGTGCTGAGAAGCAAAGCCGCATCTTGGAAGAAAAAGTTCGCGCTCTCAACAAACTCGTCAGTAGGATTGCCCCTGCAGCCCTCTCTGTGTAAAGATGGATTATTTCCTCGGATTCATTAGTAAGCACATCTTTTAAAGTAAGCCGCCGTGATGCCCTAGTTTTCCATGGCTCATCTGAGGATTGGGATTATTTGTTCACCCACCAGACATTTAATGAATGGTCTGCCCTGGGCAAGACAGAGGTGGGGGAATATGCACGTTGCAAAAGCCTGCATTTTTATTAGCAGTCCTGAGTAATTTCCCTTGGCAAAATTCCCAGATTTGCCACTCACTGGAGCCGGATTCTCGGAGCTGTCAGCAAGGAGCAGCTAAGTAAGCAGGTGAGGACAGCACTTTCCATGTGCAGGCAATGACCTTCTGACCCTGGCTGTCGGATTGAAATGTAAAATCAGGGCTCTGCACAGTTTTGCCATTTTACTGTTTTGCTCTGAGCTGAGGTTATTAGAACTCCTGGTGGGGGGTGCATACACACATTCCAGAAAGGCTTCACTTGCTGGGAATGTCAACCCCGCAAGAAAGGAGGGGAAGCCCCTTCTCCAGGGACCCTTGTCTTAGGTCTGTGGACTCAGGGATGATGGTGTTTATTGCAAATGCACAATCTTTTTCCCATTGAAACGTCATCACACTGGAAATTGCACTATATGTAAAAAAAAAAAGTATAGTTTTATATTTGAAATGTATATAAATTATGGCCATATGGCTGACTGGAATGTACTACTGTAATATAAAAAGTCACTGTATTTGCAATAAATTCTTTTCTATTAAAATTGACTTTTTTTTGGCGGGTCTTGCTCTGTCGCCCAGGCTGTGGTGCACCTGCGTGATCTCAGCTCACTGAAACCTCTGCCTCCAGGGTTCAAGCAATTCTCCTGCCTCAGCATCCCAAGTAGCTGGGATTACAGGCATGCGCCACCACGCCCAGCTAATTTTGTATTTTTAGTAGAGACAGGGTTTCTCCATGTTCGTCAGGCTGGTTTTCAACTCCCACCTCAGGTGATCCACTCGCCTTGGCCTCCCAAAGTGCTGGAATAAAATTGACTTCTAAGTTTTTTTTTTAATTTTTTAAACTATAAAATATCCCAAACATATAGGAAAATAGTATATTAGAAACACCATGTGCCCATCAACAGATGTAAGAATAACATCCTGCCACAGCACCATGGAGTGGGGGAGCATGTTCTGTTCTCAGCCTCCTTCCTCTTCCTGGGACAGCCGCCATCCCAGAGCTGGCACGCCTTCTCCCCTCTGCAGGAGAAAAATGTCACAGCACCATGGAAAGATAACAAAGCTGGAACAGATGGAAAGGGTTCTTAGGAAGATGTGGCAACATGAAGTTGACGGTTCTTCAAAGTTCACTGATAAATGTAATTAGTCCCAACAAATATACAGATGTTCCATGCCCCAGTCAACCCCAGAATTGGACAAGACATTCTAAAGTGTTTACATACAACGAAATAAGCAAATGAAACAGGAAAACTCTGACAAAGAGCAATGCATGGGGACTAGTTCTACCAGTTATTAAAATATGTCCCAATACAGTGTATATTAACACATGTACATGCATTTATCAAAACTCATTGAGAAGTACACTTCTTCATTCACTTTGGGCTTCTGTCTGAGACTGGAGTAACCAAGAGACCTGAACAACATTATCAACATACTGACATCTAGAGCCTACCACACGACACCAGCAGAAGCATAGGCAGCCAAATACTTACCAAGACATAGCATAATCTGGGCCAGCAAATCTCAAAAAATTACAAAGATTCAAGTCATATGATGTTTATACTGTGACCACAGTGGAAATAAACTAGAAATCAATCCCCCAATATTTGGAAACTGAACAACATACTACTGAGTAACCCATGAGGCAAAGAAGAAATGAGAAGTGGGAAATTAGGAAATATTCTGGATTGAATGGAAATGAAAACACAATATATCAAAATTTGTGAGGCAGAGCAAAAGCATTACTTAGGGGAAATTTCACAGAACCAAACACCCAGATTAAAATAGAAGAAAGGTCTTGAATCAATGACTTCAGCTTCTACCTTAAATAAGTAGACAAAAGCAAATTCAACCCAAAGTCAAAAGCAAAGGAAATGATGATGATCATAGCAGAAACCAAGGAACAGAATAGATTGGCTGTGGCATGCTGCAGGTTAAGTTTGGTTGGCACGGCCACGCTGAGTTAGAGATTCCCTATACCTGCTTTGTGCTGCAGCAGCAGCGCGGAGCAGCTGTACGGGTCATGTGGCCCACAAAGCCTAATACACAGAAAACATTTGTTGACTCCTGAAATGGAAACTTCCGTCAGTAAACCAAAGGCAGGTTCTTTCAGAAGATTAAACTTCTAGTTCAATCAGAATAAAAGAAAAAAGAAAACTTACTAACAGAAATGAGAGGTGATATCACTATAGTCTAGATACACAAGCATAATAAGGCAATATTATGAATAACATTTTTATTTTTTTTTAGACACTGCTGCCCAGGCGGGAATGCAGTGGCATAACTCCCTGCGGCCTCCAACTCCCACTTCAGCCTCCCGAGTAGCTGAGATTACAGGTGCACAGCGCCACCCCTGGCAATTTTTTTCCTAACGTCTCGCTATGTTGCCCAGGCTGGTCTCAAACTCCTGAGTTCAAGCGATTCTCCTGTGTTGGCCTCCCAAAGTGCTGGGATTACAGGCGTGAGCCACCATGCCTAGCCCATGAACAACTTTATATAAATAAATTTGGTAACTTAGATAAAATGGAGAATACATAAATTGCCAAAGTTCATTCAAGAAAAACAAATGGACAACCAGAATAGCCATGTATTTATTTAAAAAGCCAGAACTGTTGTTAACCTTACCACAAAGAAACTTTAGGCCCAGATGGCTTAAATACACATTCTACAAACATTTAAGAAATAATAATGCCAAGTATATAGAACTTATGATAGATATGTTGGTTTCATTCATGGCTTCTCGTTCATAACTCCCATGGCCTTTGTTACAGTCTGTTGTAGTAATGCTGGGGCAGTTCTGTCTCAGAAGACAGTCTCTCTTTCTGCCCTTATGCCCTCCTTTCACGGGCTCCTTTTTCTCAAGGCAAGAACCTTCCCACCTTTCTGTCTTGGAGCTGGCCGTAAAGAAATTCTCTATGATCAGAAGGGGCACTGCCCCATACTCTGAAAGAAGGAATGCAGCAGAGGCCAAGCACCTGAGCAGATGGGTGTTGGACAGCGCCACTCAGACTATGAGCATTAGATCATACCTTTTTTGTGCAGTCATACCTCTTCTTGGTGGTCGATCATGCCCAACCAATGAGATTTCCATTAAAGGCCCAAAAGGACAGGGTATGGGAGCTTCCAGATCATGCCACTGCACTCCAGCTCTGGGGGACAGAGTGAGAATCTGTTTTAAAAAAAAAAAAAAAAAACCAAAAGTTTTCAAATAAAATTCTACAAAAAGGATAATACATCATGACCAGGTGTAGTTTATGCCATGAATGTAGGGTAGGTTTAACACTGAAAACTCAATTGATCAATCAGCCACCATAATTCACCAAAATATCAAACTAAAAGATGAAACCATCTCCACAGATAGAGAAAAAGGATATGACAAGCTCCAGCATCCATTTCTGATTTTTAAAAAAATTCTTAGTAAACTAGTGTATTATTCTGTTCTCATGTTGCTAATAAAGACGTACCAGAAACTGGGTAATTTATAAAGGAAAGAGGTTTAATTGACTCAGTTCCACATGGCTGGGGAGGCCTCAGAGTCACTGCAGAAGGCAAATGGATAGGGAGCAAAGTCACATCTTACATGGTAGCAGGCAGGAGAGTGTGTCCAGGGGAACTCCCATTTATAAAACCATCAAATCTTGTGACTTCTTGACATAAGAAAAGTGTGGGGGAAACCACCCCCATGATTCAATTATCTCACCTGGCCCTGCCCTTGACATGAGGGGATTATTACAGTTCAAGGTGAGATTTGGGTAGGGACACAGCCAAACCATATCACCAGGAACAGAAGGGCACTTCCGCACCCCAATAAGTGGCAGCTACAAAAAACTTAAGAGCTAACATCATAATGGTCGAAGACTAACTGTTTTCCTTCTTAGATCAGGAACAAGATAGGGATGTCTGCTCTGACCACATATATTCAGTATTCTATTGGAAGTTCTAACCAATGCAATCAGGTAAGAAAAAGAAATAGGCATTCAGATTAGAAAGGAAGGAGTAAAAGTCTTTATTATAGAACACGTGACTGTTGATGTAATTTATAAAACACCTCTAAGAACTCAGTTTAACAAGGCTGAAGGACACAAGTTCAACATCAATTTTATTTGTTTACTAGCAACAAGCAGTTAGAATTTGAAATTTTAAACTACTTAGCATCAAAACTATGAAATACTGACACGATAGACCTGTACAATGAAAACTATAAAAGATTACTAAGAGAAATGGAAGACAGAAACATTAATACGTGGGAAGACAGACCTTGTTTATAGGCCAGAAGACTCAATATTAGTAAAGATGTCAACTCTCCCAACCTCTTTATGTAAATTCAACGCAATCTGAATCAAAGTGCTAGCAGAGTTTTGTTGTTGCTGTTGTTGTAGAAATTGACAAGTTGATCCTAATTTTTTTTTTTTTTTTTTAGACAATGTCTCACTGTGTCACCCAAGCTGAAGTACAATAGTGTGATCTTAGCTCACTCCAGCCTTGATCTCCTGGGCTCAAGGGATCCACTTCAGCCTGCCATGTAACTGGGGGTACATGAACCACCACACCCAGCTAATTTTTGCATTTTTCATAGAGACAGACTTTTGCCATGTGACCTAGGCTGGTTTGGAACTCCTGAGCTCAAGCGATCCGCCCACGTAGGCCTCCCAAAGTGCTAGGATTACAGGCGTAAGCCACCATGCCCTGCCTGTTCCCAATTTCATATTAAAAGCAAAGGACTTAGCATAGCGAAAACAAATCTCAAAAAGAAGTGTGGTGCATTGGGCCAGCACCAAGACTGACGCCTGTAATCCCAGCACATTGGGAAGACGAGGCAAGTGGATTCCTTGAGCTCAGAAGTTGAGCACAGCCTGGCCAACAAGGTAAAACCCCGTGTCTACAAAAAATACAAATAACAACAACAAAGATATAATGCATTAATACTATTTCAAGAATTATTAGAAAAATTACACTACATACAAATATAGTATTGGCATCCAGGAAAGAAAAACAGCTCAATGGAATAAAACAGAGTACTGAAATAAGCCCACACATACACTGAAAACTACTTCTTGACAAAAATGCAAAGGTGGAAGAGCAAAGGGCAGTCCTTTCAACAAATGGTGGTGAAACAGCTGGATATCTATATGCCCAAGAAAAAGTGAAGGAGGATCAACACCTTGCACCATATACAAAAATTCATTCAAAATGGATCCCAGGCTAGGCGTGGTGGCCCATGCCTATAATCCTAACACTTTGGGAGGCCAAAGTGGGTAACTTGAGGTCAGGAGTTTGAAACCAGCCTGGCCAACAGGGTGAAACCCTGTCTCTACTAAAAATACAAAAACTAGCTGGGTGTGGCAGCATGCAACTGTAAACCTAGCTACTGGGGAGGCTGAGACAGGAGAATCACTTGAACTGGAGGGTGGAGGTTGCAGTGAGCCGAGATCATGCCACTGAACTCCAGCCTGGGTGACAGAGCGAGACTCCATCTCAAACAAACAAAAACAGGTCACAGACCAAAACTATAAAGCTTAAAATTATTATTATTATTTTTTTTTTGA